GTTGGCGCATTCACCAGTACCACTCCCACCTTTATCTGTACGTTTTGGACACACCATATAAACGGTAAAAGGAAAAGACTTCTCTTCGCTGTCGTTTTATCATGAAAGCCTGGCAGGGTTGTACTAGTATGAACCCAATCACTTCGATGTCTACCTCATCTGCAGAATCTAACATGTGGTTTAATATCGACATTTCGTTCATCATTTCGTGTTTTGTTTTTTGTTCTAGAAATATGGTTACGTTAAAATTGAGTAACGTTACTCTTAACATAATTTTACACCGAAATTTACTACAATTTTAAGTGGCCTATGAGTTGGACCTGCCTAATTAAGTTTTCAAATTTCATATATTTTTAATTGAAAATCTAAATCTAAATTAAATTGATTGCCTTTTTTTTGGGTTTTCTTCTCCCACTCTATATCCGTTCATATCTCGAGCTGATCCTCGCGGCCCCAATCCCACCCCTCATTACCCTTTAATTATTCCCTTTCCCATCTCCACTCTCACACAGTACACTCCACCCAAACTCTAATGACAAAAATTGAAAAAAAACAAAAAGCCTAGAACCATGGATTTTCATCTCGTGATTTTTCATTTTTTTTCCGACAATTTGTTTTCAAATATTTGTTGTTTTTATCATGCAAAACGCATTGAAAGCCAATGTTGCTGATCATGTTTACGATGAGAAACACTTTATAGCAACTTTAAAAGCATGCTTGTTCAAAGACATAAGCTATAATCAAACCAAACAGAAAAATTAAATCTATTTCTAACAACAGCAACCATAATCTCCTACCAAAAATAACACATCTCAACATATATGTTAGGAAATGATTCATAGTGCATCATATCATTCATATGTGAATGAACAAAAACCAGACATATACTGTATTTTAGAGGGATAAAAAAACTGAGTATTTGATTCACAAGGTCAGCACAACAACAAATAATAGGGTAATGAAAAAAAAGGGGCAAATTGCATACAGTTTGATTTATGCAAAGAACCTATAACACTGAAAAACCAACACAACACGAAGAAAAAGGGAAATGAAGAGGAAGTGGTATTATCAGACAATGAAGAAAGCAACACAAAATATATGTTTTGTCCCAATTTAATAATTTAAAAACAAATCTTGCACTCCCAACTAAAAGTTGAATAACCGAACCAGAACCAGACAGAAAACAAAGCAGAAAAAAGCAAGTTTCTAAGCAGCACTAGTAAAAAAAAACGCTTTGTGCAATGCAGGTCCTTCGTCGCGCAAAGTAAAAAAACCATTGCGCAAACATTAGAACATTAGCGCAAGAACCTTCATTGCGCGCCAACCGTTACGGCAAGGTAGTGACAGAAAGGTTTGCACGACGAAGAAGTAACCTGTGTCGCACAAACCTACTTTGCGCGATGTATGTTACGTCTTCGTCGCGTAAACTTACTTTGCGCCACGCAGCCCTACGTCGCGCAAGATGTATGTTACTTCTTCATCGCGCAAACCTTTTTTTTTTTTTTGCAATTTTTTTATTTACTTTTTAATAAATATTAGAATTAAATTCTAAACAATAATTAATAAACCAAGAAAAAGTATTTAATTATAAAATATATGAAAATGTACATACAAGATGTCCGAATAAAAAAGAAAAATCTACAACAAGTAGTCGTCTAGGTTTGATGCTTACTGTTTTCTTCTATTACAAATTCTCTCCAGGTAAGATTAATTGGTTAAACTGAATTATCAATTAAATTGTACTTTTATTGATAATTTCAGGGTGTAACACGATCATCGGCATGCCATGCATGAGTTAATTCAGCTTTAAACTCATGCAAATTTTTCTGGATCTTCCAGTTCCTCCAAATGCAAACTTATCGAAGATTTCTCATGTGCTGTAAATTCATATCAGTAAAACAAATCAAAGTGACTATCATAGCTGCTCTAGTTGGGCAACAAAAATACTTGTGAAAAGAATACTTGTTCCAAAAAATTATAGGATCAAAGCAAAGGAGGCTGACATATTTTTCCTGCCTTTCGTCACATCGGACATATGTAAGTAATGAGAAAAAGGAAAATAAAATGTTAGCAGATAGGTTACAGCTTTCAATGAGAAACTTAAGGAAGTAAATAGCTTTCAATGAAGGTTCAGAAAAAGATATGTCCATGAGCAACGTTGCTAAATTACAAAATTTGAAAAATTAAAATAAATTGGCATTCAATTGATAGATTGAAGACATATTAGTAGATCCATCCCCAACAAGCGAAAGAAAGCCATATTTTTTCGCAAAAAAGGCCCAGCGATTCAAAATCTGATCCGCAGTACCAACCATCACAACAGGTCTCAAAATGGTGGCCTATTGATGAAAGTGAATGTTAGACACTGCTCCTTAAATAAGCATGCCAACGTACAAGAAGGAAAGGAAATAACTCTACCTCAAGCAATTCACTTAAAACAGTTTCCTCTGCAGCAACTTTAGTCCTTAGGAATCTGGAGGGAGACGAGGAAGATGCCCCCAAGCAAGAAACTTGAATAAATCTCATGATAACCCCATGTTCTTTGGAAATCTGCAGAAATATAGAGATTAAAAAGAAGACCGATATGTGTCTAACAACAAAACCTGAATAAATGACATCTAACTTTTATATCTCCACCAATTGGATATTGAACAAAATTTCAGATCCCGAAAGACACTTCTATCTATCTTGAAATAAAAGTCCAATTGCAAGCAGGCTAAATAGCTGCATCGCAGACTGCAACCTGTGTGTAGAAGTGTATGATACACACCAAACTATCGTAACTGTGGCAAAATAATCTTGTTAAACACTTTTTTACTATTTTTGTTAAGGATGATGCTTTGGGAACCAACTTTTAAGAGAAGTAGATGGCAGTAGGATCAGAAGCAGCACATGAACGAAAATAATGTCATGAATGTCAATGCAGGATACCTACCGTTGCCAGTTGTTGCGCCATGGAATGATTCACTTCCTCAAAGCTAAAGTTTCTTGTCTTCTAGAGGTATAATTTGACGGTCGTTGGTGATCGGGGGACGGTGGTGTTGTTGTGTGCAGAAGAAGGGGGAGAAAGAGGATACAAGCGGGGGAAAGGAAGGTGGCTGAGGACAAGGAGAGTTTGAGAGAGAGGGGCATTAAGTAGAGTAAAAGTAAATGTAAAGGATAAAAAAAATAATATTTATTTAAATATATTAAATTAGAGGGCACAAAACCCTTTTATTGCTTGTTTGTAAATTAATAAATAATATCTATCTCTGACATTAAAAAGACACATGCAAGCTGGACACAAAATTTTGTGTTCAAACTTTAGTAGGCACAAATACACAACATAAACTAATGTGCTTTTTAGTTAGAGGGCACAATTAAGATATTTGGGTGTTCAATGGACCATATAAAGCACAATTATGTATTTGTGCTCAATGAAAATGAGAAGGGCACAAATCAATTGTGTTATTTGCCCATTTTTCTTGTAGTGATAATATCTAATTAAATGTAAAAGTTAACTATGATTAGTGTTTAGACATGTGACACGACTCTATACGAGATAACACTACACCATGGTTAGAGGATATGAGAAAAACGAACTTAATTATATTTTGTTTCCCAGATATTAATAGTAGTTCGTCCCCAGCTGTCTAGATTACTCAGGACCAGTTAGTCGTTGTCACATTTCTCCATGTTGGAAATTACCTATTTGTGATTCAACAATTTAAACTCCTATTTCCTGCATTTCCTTTAAAAAGAGGAGTGCGTACAGCATGCACTGCAGTACCACCGTGTCTTGAAAGTGTACTAAATGTACTTCAACGGGGTAATATTGGCATTGTACCGAATAAATCTGACTACTAAAACCCTAATCAGCTTAATTTGCATACACACATCGCCATTTATTTAATGTATCATCTCTCTCCTCTTCATGGCCGTTGGCCTCCTCAATCACTACAAGAAAAATGGACTAAGAACACAATTCATTTGTGCCCTTTTCATTATTATTGAGCACAAATACATATATGTGCTTTTTAAATATCAATGAGCACCAAAACCATCTCAAATGTGCCCTCTAAACAAAGGGCATATTGGTTGGTGTCCTGCATTTGTGCCCATTAAAATGTTTGCACCAAAATTTGTGTCATTGTTTATAAATATCAGTAATCATAATTTTTTATTAATTTACGTACACACATAAATATTTTTTGTGCCCTTTCATTTAGTATATTTAAATTATTTAATTTTAGACACATAAGTATCTTGTCTTACTTCAACAATCTGAAGACAAAATCTTATTTTAATATATTTTATTGATCAAAACCCACCATACACCCCCCTTTCTTTCCCTTTACTCTCTCATCTCTCTCTTCATCTCTCTCATTTCTCTTTTCATGTCTCTCATATTTCCTTCTCTTTTACTTTCCTTATCTCTCTCTTTCATCTCTGCTTCCCCAGATTCAGTTTAACCACCCTTTATATATTTTTATAGATGTATGATTTGGTTATTCATTTTTGAATGATTATGTGGAACTCGTTGGAAAACAAATAAGTTGGTGGGTAATTTCGTCTTTTGTGGGGCCTTCGAGTTCAAGACACTTGGTGATAAATATTATATTTTATTTAAATAATACTTATCGTAATGAACGCGTGGTCACAAACAGATGTGAATTCGAAGTTAAAACGAGTAAGTTACAAAATTTTAAAGTTAGAATGCAAAATGGTAATTTTGGGACTGAGAGTATTCTAGAAGCCAAAGACTTCTCCCATTTTACTTTCCGGTAGGCAGAAGCAGCAGGGACCCACTCACGTGGGTCTTCACCCTTCCCATGTATATATAATTATTTGTTAAGTATTAATCCAACAGTCTTCCGTCTCCTTCCTAGTTATGTATATAATTATGTTATTAATTTTCTAATGGGTTTTTGTGTCCCGTGGGACCCACCCACGTGCATCTTCACCCTTCCCCGTGCTTCTACTCCTCTCTGCACGCCATCACTCTTTCCATCTCCCTCCTTCACACAATCATCTATCTCACTTTCTCTCTCTACCTCTTCACACTTTTCTCTGTCATCTCCCTCCGCATCTCTGCGTGCTCACTACATAAAAAACCGCAGCATCCATCTCCATTTAACTAGCCACTCCGGCGAACCTTGCCACCACCCAAACACTACACTGCCACCCTTGCTCTCTCACAATCTTTCTGTCTCTCCCTCTCGGCTTCTTCCTTGACACAAAGAAGCACATAAGCAATGACGACATCGGAGTTGGCGATATCCGGCGAGGCAACCACCAGCGGCACCTTCCTCTCCTCACTGGAGACTCCCCATTACCTTTTTCTTTTTGTAAATTGAAACCGACATGACGAAATGACAAGCTCTGTTGCGGCTTGACTCCCCGGTGAGATTTTCCGTCGAATCCAGTATGGGTGAGTCTCGAAAACACCTTAGTTAGGTTCTTTAAGTTGTTTAGAGACGTTTTCGTGCACTGCATTCCTGATTTGGTTAAGTCTGGAAGCAGTTTCAACTCGGGACAAATTCCCCAGATTTCCAGCGAGGGCTATGATTTTCAAGCCGATTTTAGGTTATCACCGGCCACCCAATGGTCCTGAAGAAGGTAAATTTCGAATACTTACCTTTGTAGCTTTGTTTTAGCTTTTGAATTGTTGAAAATGGTTATGTTTTGGACCAAAACAGACTCTGAAACCCCTGGCGTGGCTGCAGGTCGCACTGTTGCTGGTTGTGGTACTGTTATGGATGGCGCGTGGAGCACAGACGCCTCCACCGGAAGGATGACTGCCTTTCAAGGATGAATATACGTTTTCAAATGTTTGTTTCAGATTGTGGAGTATTTCGAATTTGTTATTTTTATTTATTTTTTTTAATTTAATTGATAGGGCACAATTACAAAAATTGTGCTAACATGAATCTGAAATGGCATCTGACACAAGTGTCAGAACAGGGCACAATAAAAACCTTATTTGTGCTTAACTCTTTGAGCACACATGGTCTTATCGTGCCCTCTAATCAATGGTGACGCCCATAGAGGGCACATACTTAAATATAGTAGCTGCACTGTTGCTATTGGTCTATGGGCACAATTGTTGGTGCTCTTTGGTCTCAAAGAGCACATATAATTTATTGTGTGCAGTGCCCATATTTTTTGTAGTGAATCTTCTGCTACTTGGTGCTATTTCTAATTGATTCACTGTCTCCCTTATTTAACACATGATGAAGTATTTCCACGATATCCTAGCTAATTAGTATTTCTCAGTAATCTTATGTAGGAATGCTGTGATTATTAACAAGAGCTAGCTAGGATGGAAATAGAACTGACTAGCCAGTAAGGATATAGATAGTGGCTAGGATTATGCCATGTGTTAAAACAAGACTGAATGTTTAGTTAGTCAGTTAGAAAGGTAGTCTTTTATATAAATAGATCATTGTAATGGCTTAGAGGTTAAGAAAGATTAATACAACAAGTCTTTGCAGCTTCTCTCTCTAAACCTTTCTCTCTCTCTAGTTCTTGAATCCTTATCTTCTCATTCGTTCTTCCTCTGTCTACATTAACATAGCCTACCTCAAATTGATAAGGGAAATGATTTATTTTTCTTTTCATGTTTATTTGTGGCGTTTGGATCAAATCAAATAAATGAGAACAAGGGATCAATGTTAAACAGGGATGCAAAAGGAAAAAATTGGCATACATAAATCATGCCAACGTTGCAGGTATGTATGTTCTATTCCGTATGCAGTTCCAAGAGAAAATCTTAACAGTGATGCAGTGTCATGATAAATTGCTGAGCTTATGTTCCCGAGGAAGCTCAACTGCTCAAGGAAGTAATTTGTCAATCTTACAGTTTATGTTTGGAACTATAAGTTTGATAAATTGGCTTAATCTGACTGGTGTATTTCTCTTCAATCCAAGCTTCCAGGCTTGAGTAGCATATAATACGGTTCGTGGTGATCATGATTCAGCATATAATACAAGCATACATATGGAAAATTTACTCTACACATACAGGTACACAGTTCATTTATTTTTGGGTTCTTTAGAGAAAGGCCCTTGAAACTCCTATTTTCCAAATAAAAACCCACCTAATAGTAAATATTCAAATAAAACCCAAAATTCAAATAGACTACCATATAGACAAATATGTAACCAATTATTACAACATATTTACAACTTATGCCACAAAACTCCTAATTATGTTAATAAATATTATTACTCACCCTAATTATGATTAGCAATTAACCCCATATGGAAAATTTTCCTTTCTTGTATCATAAATATTAGTAACATGCATGTATGTATGTATATATAATTATATATATATACTAATTTATCCATATTCATAAACAATTATGGGCACATTTTTCGTATGAAAAAAGAAAATCCTTTGTATAATAAGTTATTTTCCATCACATAATATTGTTTGATAAAAAAACAAACCAATTAATATTCATTATGTTGTAGGTAAATTATTTTACATAGAGTATTACATAAATTAGACATTTTTTTATTTGTTATTATATATGCGTGTTAAAAATAATTTATCTATATATATGTGTAAAATATATGTAAATTAATTTTGAATCAAATAGCATTTATTTTGTAGGTAAATTAAAATAGTAGTTACATTATTTTGGTCAAGTTAAATAGTGCCTAAATTATTTCGTAAAAACTAAACCAAGACAAATTATCGCCATTAAAATGAAACAGTAGATACATTATTTTTTTATTTGATTAAACAATAGGTAAATTATATTGTAGGTACATAATGTTTGTAAAAAAAAGGAAAATTGAAAGTAGTAGATATATTATTTTTAACCAAATTTCCTTTATTTGTAGGTGAATTATTTGCATGCATTATATATATATTGGGCACATTTTATTCCTAATATATATTTGTGCAATGATTCACCTATATTATTATATAAAATATAGAAAAATTTATGTTGAATCAAATAACATTTCTTTAACTTTATAAGTAAATTATTTTGCATGTATTATTACTGGACAAATTTTATAGTGCCCTTTCAGATTTTCATTTGGGTAAGAAATTGACAAGATTAAATTAAAATTGTCAAATTTTATGCAAATTTGAAAGACAATTACGAAATCTTAAGGAAAGTATAACATTAGTGATTTTTTTTCCATAAGCATTAACATACAATTTGTTATGATATATTAATATGCAATGATTTTAAACGTTAATGCATTTTTTTCATTAATCCCTCCCTTCAAATATACATATAATTTAATGTATATATTAAAACTGTGATTAGGAGTGTTTTAGGCATCTAAAATATGCAAAATGTGTAAAGGCAAATATAATTAATGAATTTGGTTATGTGGAGCCTAGTCATTGGGTTTTATTCAGGTAAAAAGACTATGTCAAGTTTTATGTAAAGAAACTTGAATTTTAAGGGCTAAAGTCACATCCCTACATACATATATGTTGTTAAAAGAAATTTTCACTCAAGCATACCTAGTTAAGATCAAATTTTACTCCAAGTGAAATAGGTAATATGCATTTATAGTGATGCGCATAGGCTTTTATGGTACCAACAATCAAGATAAGAGATTAGGAGCAAAGAAATAAAAAATTGAAGCATATTGCTCCAATTATTTGCTTTAGTAATGGCCTTTTATCCATTTCCCAACCTCTCGTTTTACCAAACCAGCAATCCATAAATTAAAAGTGCAGCACCTCATTTGGGATAAACTGTGAACTCTTCATTGTGGCATAGTGGATTAGGTCAACCCTCAATCATCCTATACTTTGTCAACAATATTGCTTTGAAGAGTTCACAGTGCACCCTTGTTTCAAACTCATTGCCACAATCTTATGCTTGGCTGCTGCAATTAACGATCGATGGATGTTCCGTATAATTAAGAGTTGAGATTGTAAGTGGATTCAGTGGTTGGGATTGTAACTTGTACGTGTAAGTGACGGAGGGGTTCAGTTAGGCTGAGTTGTTAGAGAGAGTTGAGATTGTAATGAATGTTTATGTAATTATTAATCTGCAAAATAAATACAAACTTGATCTTCTTCTCTTTGTAAGCAGTTCAATCTTGTTAATGAAAATTCAGTTTTATTGCTCCTCGCTATATCTCTCTTAATACCAGCTAATGTAAACTTATTCAACAATGTTACTTTTACCATATGTTTACCAGCTCTCTAATATGATGGGACACACATGTGTTGGTAGACCCTCCTTCTATATTATAGAGATGGTAGAAATATGTGGTAAGTGTAGCATTACTCAAACTTATTATCACTAAGCATGACTAGTTTAGTAAAGAGTAATGTTATTCATATCATGTTTTTGTATCACATTTTCATACCATCTTAGGTGGAATTTGATGTGCCACGTCATTTGAAAAAGAGTAACATTATGAGAGAAAGACTCAAAGATATAAACATATTCCAACACATTGACCTTAAATTTTATTGATGAACCAAATACAATTACGTACGAATTCCACATACAAGTAAGTACAGTGGAATATTAATTAAACAAACTTGTACGACGTGTTTGGAAAAGCCAGGAAATACAATTGCATGGCTTCCGATCCAAATCACTGGTACACATCACATTAAATAACACAAGGACAACGCATGCATGCATGCATGAACGTAGGCCATGATTCTGGAAACACATTAACATACCGACATTATTTAATTAATTAATCAGGTGCCGGGATACTTAACGATCAAGAAGAATACTCGATCTTAAACCCACCAACGGTGATTGGCGAGTTGGAAACCCTAGGTACCAACGTCACCAGCACACTGCTATCATCCTCCACACCCAAATCCTCCAATAAGTCCGTGATCCCCAGTTTCAGATTCGTCTTCGTCTTCGTACCAGTCTTCTGGTTATGCGGCACGTGCACAAAACTACCGGCAAATTCTGACTTGTCCTTTCGACTCAGCGACTCAGCATCGTCATTAATAAACACATCGAACTTCACAGCCTCGTTGCTTTCAAACTCAATATCCTTGATGATCAGCACCTCCTCCTCGTTGCTCTTCTCCTTCTTGGTCCTCTTCCTCGGCTTTGGCCTCGCTACCTCCACTGTCGTCTTCGAGTCAAACGTTGCAGGGAACTTGGTTGTCAGCTGAGTAGCCGACACCTTGGCTTTGGTTTTGTTCCTCGGCTTACGAGCTGTTGGCTTCGAGAACAGCCACGGAACACTAACAGGCTCGTAAGTATAGCGAAGATCTTTCGCAGGATGGATGCTGTCCCGAACCTTACAGCTCACAAGCTCGGCGTTTTCGTCGTAGAACAGAAACTCAGCATCGAGCCAATCGGTGTCGGTAGGGTCCTTGCGCTTGCCTCCGAGGGTTTTCCAAATGTTCCACATGCGGTCCACGTTGCAATGGTGGGCGTAAAACAGAGGATCCCGACCGGCTGAGTAGAAGTTGCCCATGTCCTCCTTGTTGGGCTGGTTCGGGTCACCGCACCAAAGATGGATGTTATTGTGAGGATTGTTCTCAATGGTGCCAGCGTATTTCCCTGTCGTTGTTTCCCCTGCCCTGTATTCGTGGCCGAAAAATAGATCCGGTGTTTTGGCACCGGAAACCATTTGCCGGTACATGATGGCTAGATTCTCATCTATTCTTGTCTGGTCGTCCACGTCATCATCGGTTCCACCGTAGCTGAGGTCCACCAGCACAGGGGGCTGGTGTCCGGCGTGACGGTACTGATCGTAAAGTGGGGAGGTGGTGTCAGTATAAATGTCGGGAATTGGAAAGCCTGCACATCGGTCAAGTGTATTGTGATAAATTGTACATCAGCAAGTATTTTGAATATAATGCATTTTAATTTTATCTAATAATTTGCTACATTATGTTCACCAATATATATGTTTATGTTGTTTGTTATAAAGAAACATATGTTGTAAACAATTTATCTCTGCACCGAACATTAATAAAGTAACAACATTAACATTTTAAGTTCATGACAACATAAACATACCATCGGGAGAGTCCCAATTCCAGTATGGGAGAGCAAAAGTTGGGTCATCAATGAGCTTGCCAAGGATTCTCTCGTAGAAATACAAGTACATGCGGTGGAAGGGAAAGAAAAGCCAGGAGAAATGGACTTGGATGTCAATGTCCGGAAACCCTACTTGTGGATAAGCACCATTGCAGTAAGCACAGTGAACTTTGGCTTGTTGAACCATGCTACGCGGGTCGTCTTCGGGTAAGGCACGCATGAGGGCTTGAGCTTTCTTGAACTTGGCCAAGTACTCGTCCGTGACCAGATGGGCGGCAGGCCTCGTCCGCAGTGGGATAGACTGGTCCAGAGTGAAGGTTTTGATCTTTGTGGAGACCGGTGGACAGCATGCCACAGTTTCACCTCCGGTGGTGATTTCGGCCAGTGTGCACTTGGTTAGGTCAGGTGGGGCCAGCGGGGTGGCGAAGGCCAATGGTTTCTGGGCAAGGGTGGTGGCGCCGTAGAGGCCGCCGAGGCCAATTAGGACATTTCTCCTGTCCAACTTTCCCAACAAATTAGATGATTGCTCTGGTTGGTTCTGTTTCTCATTATTATTAGGGTTTGTGGCTTTGCACGAGATTGATGATCTACGGGAAATGTAGTGCTTTCTTTTTCCAGAGAAGGAAAGTTGGGATTTGTTTGGGAGGAACGCGGAGTAGGAATTGGTGGAGATAATCAGAGAAGAGTAAGTGCCCATTGTGGTGGTAGAACCAGTGGGAGATGGTGCAGTAGCCATGGCTTTGCTGGTGTTCAGCTCTGAACTGTTAGCTCCTGTTTTATAACGGGTAACTGTGGGTCCAAAGTCTGCAAAATTAGATTATTTTTATATTTATTATTTTTTAAAAAGGAGTCATGGTTGGGAGATCAGGTTTTTGGATTCTGTATCGTATCATCTCCTACTTAAAATTAATAGAGCTTACATCTATTATACCATCTCCAAAGTGAGCATAATTTTTCTTTAAAATGAACTGACAAGGTACTTAATTAAATAAAGACATCAAATTAAGAAGAGCAATGTAGTCCAAATATTTTCATACATCAAATTAAGAAGAGTTTTCATGATCAATTCATCCAACTCATTACATAAAAAATAATCCTCAAGAAATTAAAAAATTCGAATACAAATGTCATATAGATCTGAAGGTAGACTAAAGTTTATGTATATAAAGCTTTTTCGATCAGCCACCCAATTTGCACCACGACTTCTTTTATAAACAGCAAGTCGAAGAAACTCATGATATTTTATTAATATTTTTTAATGCAAAGGATGTTTTATCTACACTAAGGATTTCAACCGTAGTTTGAGTAAGTCTTATACTTATATATAAGAATCATACAATCTCAGCTTGATACCTATAATACTTGTATTCCATTAGTGTGAGTTTAATATGTTAGTACAACACATGAATATAGTATATTAAACCAAGTTTGATATATTGGGCTCATGAGTTTAATAATTTTTATATCATACTAATTTTTTAGCTCATTGTAGGAGTATGATTCTTATATGAGTTCGATATATTAGTTTCACACTCACTTTTTTCCAACCTACTGTAAAAAGCCTAATAAGACATGTGAGAGTTTAAACATAGAATGAAGTTGGTTGAAAGAAAAACCTAACCACCATGTCAATCCAATTACACAAACAAATATATTCTAGGAAAACTTGATATTAGTCCATTTTTGTTAGCCACAATTAGGGTCTAGTCCAATTACATTTTATTATTGAATTAGGTTCCATGACCGTGATTTAAAGTCACATCCAAGCATCTTCCTTGGAGATAGCAAAGTGGTACCAGTGTGGCCTTCCTAATATTAATCATTTAATGAAATTATGACCCAATAATATTCATTTCTATTGGACCAATTCATACAGTTATTCATCAGGTAGGTCTATGACAGTACTGCAACTACATGCATGCATGCATGAATATGAATGATCATTATTTCTATGTGTGAATAACATTACTATTAACAAAGGATCTTGTTTGTATAATTACTTGCATGTAAAGAGCCATTTCAACATTCATCAGTAGATGATGACAGGGTATTATCTAACTATATACATGTTATAATCTAAACCGTATGTTTACTTTATGATCATTTGAAATCCATCACTGACAATAAGAAGTTTTTTTTCTTCTCTGAATTGTTAATTATAAATGCTGAAGAATTCCTTGTATTTTTTTTTTCTTCCAAACAATTTGATTACTTGCTATGTTAAATATGTAATGTTTATGGGTTACCCCAAAGTCCTTTGGATGAGTCAATGTTTGTCATAAAAGACATGTTTTCTATTTCTCTATTCTTTGCGCAATTATGTTTGCCGTATTAAAACATCTCACTGTTACTGTTGTTTAAAAAAAAGTAACAAATTAATATGGCAACTTGATTGAAACAGAACAAGGAAAATTTATACACGATTTTGGTGAGGTCAATAGGACTATAAGTCCGCTCAAAATAGTTAGAGCTCATAAAGAGTCTTGTTTGTGTTTTGCTTGTTGAAGCTCAGCTTGTAAAAGAATCAAGCCAAGTTAGTTCAACTTGATTAAGAAACAAGCCAAGCTTAAATAATAGTATGTTTGGCTCATAAAGTTCGTGAACAACTCAAATTTTTTTACGAAACAGCTCGAAGTAAGCTTGACCTCGGCTTGATCATTTAACTAATATATAACTCTTGTCCAATACATATTTGAAGGTCCAAATCCCACTAATTTAATTAACCAAACAAAAATAAAAAACGAAAAAGGATATTTTATAAGGAAACTAATGAAAATGACTTGAAAATTTTGAGTTTTAACGACAACAACAAATTAAAGGGTTAGGTGAATAGTACAAAGATTGACTTTTTAGTGTAAAAATGTGGTTTTTCGTTAAAGTGTACATTACCGCGGGAGCTTTTCGTTAAAGTTCCTTATTTTATACCCTAGAAAAGGATTAGTTAATGGGCTTTTCTATCAATAAAAATAGTAAAATAAGAGTTCAAAAAAGGTAATGTTAACTAGAGAGATTAAATTTGTAGATAAAATGTACAAACTAAACGATTTGTCATCAATATAAATAAGTACGTCTATCAATGTTTAGCTAATAATCTAATCCTCAATTTTTATGTTATTTAGCTTATAAAATTTTATCTATAAATTTAGTCTTACTGCCAAAAAACCATAGCTCATACCGTCAAAGTTTTATTTGCCGAATTGTTGATTGTTCTTGTGCTACAGTATCTACTTCAAAACTTTTTACGTTTGACTTTTGACAAATTTTAGTTTGACTGTTTTTACGACATTACGTCCTCTGTATTCTTTTAGTTCGAAAGACCCTATAGGAGTGATGGTCTAGCTTTTCACCGGGTTTCAGCCATCAAAAAAGAAAGAAAAAAAAAGTTTTATGTTTTCTATCTTAAAGCAGTGTGTTTGAAAATTCTGTGTTGCTTTGTTTAATTATATTTCATATATTATTTTCACATGCATTGGTAAGTTACAAAAAAAAAAAAAAAAAAAAATTACAACCGAAGCAACTTATTATAAGAAATTGTTCGAAACAGTTTGATTAGTATCAGACTCGAAATTTTTAAGCAAGCTCGAGCTGGGCTCGTATAAGAACAAGTCAAGCCTAGGTCGAGCTCAAAAAAAAAAAATTAAACAAGACGAACTTAAGCACAATAATATTTAGTTGGACTCGGCTCGTTTATAGCTCTAGAGATCAGTCTAACCATACACGTCATAAGCAAATTAACAAACTTAAGGAAGCTTGTGCATTTGCATCAAACCTCTTTGTAGTTGCAGCTGTGCTAGACCTAGAGCTATTAGGTTACAAAAAAAGCGTTTTGTACAAGTTAATTATAATAATTAAATACATCTTAACGACCTAAAGTGGTTTTAATCTTCTTAACCTCGTTTCGTTGTCTTGTATTTAGCTTGAATATGATAAACCATAGTATTGAATAAATGTTGATGAAGAAATGGGTATTCACTTGTATTTTTTATCTAAGTGAAGGTAGAAGATAGAAATTTAACGTTTATAAGAGATAAAGCTGAAAATTTAACTAAGAGTACCATAAACAATTCAATCCTTTGTTTCGCGACAAATCAAGTTGATTTGTTAAATTTGTTGCAAAAACCTAATTTTGTCAGTCTTTTTCCCTTATATTTCTGTACTTGCTATATTAATAATCTAAGCACTCATTCGTACTAACAAGGATATATGCAACTCTAACATGGTTTTAGATAAAACAAAAATGAGAGGAGGGACACTTAAGAATTTTGTAAATACTTTAACAAAGATTAATACCAAAAGTTTCAAATAAAAAGGGTGAGAGGGGTACCAGCTGCTCTTTGGACCTGTGCTCCATCCGCCCTAGACACTCGTCGAGTATATTGAATCATCCAATCAAGTTAATTTTTAACAATAATTGTTAGAGACCTTAATCCGGTAGTTAATGTTAATGAAAGTTTTGATTCACATATTGTTGATAATGAATCTCACATTGACGAGAGAAATGACATCACATATGCTTATAAGTATTTGAGCTACTTTTCATCTTGCTAATTGGTTTTACAGTAAAACCTTAACTTGTTTCATGATATCATAGAGCAAGGTTGTCCCACGTTTGAAGCCCATTAGTCACACGTGCTCCACGTCACTCGAGTTGTGTTATCCACACGTTAGACATGAAAATTCGTCAACGCATTAGACTTGAAAATTCATCACACGTGAGGAGCGTGTGCTGAGAATGAATTAATCTCACATTGATGAGAGAATAGACCTTGTATGTGTTTATAAGTAGTTGAAATACTCTTTATATTGCCAATTAATTTTATGATGAAACCTCATCTTTTTTCCGATCAGAATTATTTATAGAAGATATGGTAAGGTATGGAGTCATCAATATCATCTCCATCAACTCGAAGCGATAACCCCATATGCGGTATAATCTTTAATCTAGTATGTGAAGCCTGCAAGTCATAAGTGCTGGGCTGACCAACTATGCAGCATTTATTTATCCATGCTGGACTGGATTAGGCTGTTAGGTAAAGTCATAAGTATCATGGGTCTCACTCTCGTATAATATTAATTGCCGCTTTATTTATTTTATTTCTGTACAATTTTTTATTTCATTTTTTTTCTCGAATACGACGACTGGACTTAGACTAATTTATACAATAATTTTTTTTTTTGAGGCTACAAAATGATGTTTGCAGTGTTCCTCGGGTATATGCGTGATGGTAATTTACCGTGACTTTAAGTGTATCAAAATATTAATAACGTAGATGAAGGTGACAAAATTATTTCTTTAAATCATACTAGTTCATTTCACATTACACAAGATAAAATGTAATAATTACAAATTTTCCAATATTTATGATTTTATAGAAACAGTATTTAACTCCTTACATATTACGTCATTTCATTTAATCCTTAAATTATAATTTGAGACACATGCGAAAATCATTCATTAAAACGACTGAAGTAACAGTTGTTGCAAAGTATGGATGAGGAAGTGCCGATATCAGCATTCAAGTGGGAAGATCACACCAACATGTGGAAGGTAGAACCGTAGAAGTCTCCATTATAGCATTTAAATTGTGACGATAGGATGGGAAACCAGTCACGTTGGCAACAATTTAAGACCATTCCATTTTCACGTATAGATTTGGATGAGAAGAGGAGAAGAGAGCCTGAGAAAAGAAAAGAAAGTGTCTTGATTTATCATTTACAACTACCTAGTTTAATTAAAATTGGAAAATG